TGTCTGTGCAATTTACTCCGTGCGAGTTGGCAGACTTTATTTTGCTTACTTTAACATCATTTTTCATGGTGGGACTAAGCCATTTCTTGGTATGGGTGTAGCCTACCCCAGCCATACCCTGGCGCTGCCACTGGTGGCACGTATGGGGCGGGCCATTCTGCACATGCGTTAAATGCGTTAAATATTTAACGCAATTAATTCAAATAATTAATTACCGCCGTTAACGCGATAATTTTGACAGCACTAGTTTTTACCCTTTATTTAAAAGAACCCAGTGTTGGGGCAGACCTCAGAGTTTCAGTCGGTTTGTTCCAAGCTTGTGATTAAAGGGATAGTGGAAATCCGCGAATTTTGGGTTTAACTTATGTATTTTTATTAAAAATAAGCATAATAAACAATTTTTTTTAATTTCATGCGCCTAGTTTCATTTTATTTTCAATTTTACTGCTCCCGACCACGCCCTCTCAATGAAACGAAATACTTCGGTAATCGTCGGGAATCTTCGGGTGATGACGAAAACAAAGGACGACGGGCACAAACAATGGCGGACATTCAATAGAATTTTCATGTGAATAGCCGACCTTTATTATGGTGAATAGATGTGTTTTGTATGGCTGTAGTGCGACAGCAAATGCAGAGAATGGCGTTTCGACGCATGCGTTTCCAAGAAACCCAGCCATTCGTCGTCAGTGGGTGAAATTTGTTCAGATAACACGGGCAAACTTCACGGAGCCGAAGCTGACGAGTACTTCGGCAGTCGTGTGCTCCCGTCATTTTACTGACGATTGTTTCGAGATTCCTCTGTCTCTAGCTCAAATTGAAAGTGGAATACATAAGAAGTGAGTATTTTGTTATGTTTTCTAGCTGATTTCATGCGTCATTAGCCTGTACCATTGTGTACAACGCCATTTATTGCCTGTCGATTAAGCGACCGGAGGCCTCGTCATCCGATAATCCGGTACACAGTGTCGAATGTGTACACTACAGTCATCATATAGACATGATAGACTAACAGTACTGTGAGTACAGCCTACACTTGACAGGCAGCCTGGCTAGCCTAGGATTAGGAACCTACTACGTCAAAAGACCGATTGGCTCTAGCTGTATATCATGCTAGTATACAATTCATTTCAATTTATTCATGTAATTAATGCCCATAAGGCTGTTACATATACAATAATAAATGTGACAAGATAATTTATGTGAACCTGACCCTGGTATGTTATGAAATGTACCCTACATGCAGTCATCCTCGGGCATAGCCATAGGCCTACAGTACATGCATGCCAACTTTTGCAATATATAATGGCGCGTTTCCACTGCAGCGGGTAGCTCGCTTTAAGCTTATGGACCTACCAGTCAAAATTATTTGTGCGTAGGGGTGCATCATCTGGCGCCTGGTCCTGGTCATCCTCGCCATTGCCCATGCCATGAACTAACTCATCACCTCGGGCTCGAACAAATAAGGACGTAATGGTCCATCGTCTGGCTCAATATTCTCACCATCGTCGCTTACTGAACCGGATTCAGATTCAGTTCCTAAAACTACATTTTCGTAGGAAAGCCGAGAGGATGTTTCTGACTCGCTATCATCACTGGATACCTCGTACAATCCTTCTTTGTCTGGTATATTTGCCCTTCCACGTTCATTCTGCATAGACGCCATTGTTTGTTATCGTTTCGTCTTCCTGAGTTTTTCGTCACTTCCGGTTTGGCTCAAGCGATAATTTCGTTTCTAAAAAAGTTCGGGGAAGCTGCAATAAAGTGCTTCTAACATGCGTAAGGCAATTATTATATTTTTTTAATCAGGTGTGATTGTTTTGGTACGTAATTATGCTTGTATATAAGTTAAAACGAAACTATTTGGGGTTCAATTTCCACTATCCCTTTAAATAAAAACTTTCCCCGGCACAAACACACTGCCTGAGGAAGGCTATGTGTATTTATTTTGTCATGAACCTTTTTCGAACCACTTATTTATTCATTTTGGTGACTATCCGACCTCCATGCTGCTACTCTGGTTCAAACTGCATCCACCAAACAATGTGATTTATCTCGACCTCCCCAGAAGAACCTAAATCTGACACGGTGTGAAATGTCTTTTTTAGCTGTTCTGTCGTCATTTCCTGCGATCTTCTTCCTGCAGTCAGTCAAAATGAATATTAATACGGGCCGTTTCTTTGACTAGTTATAGGCAGATATGGGCGTGACGGGAAGTCCGCAAAAGCTGCGCCACATTTCGAGTTGATTGTGATTTAGAAAGGGAAACCGGCGTAGGACATGCCGTACGCAAGTGCTACGCCGGAATGCAGTGTTTTATGAATCGGAAAATGTCTGTGCGTATTTATTTGCTTGTCCTACATAAGCAACCTTCCCACGTGAATCCTATGCAAGGCTTTATAAATGAGGCCCCTGGTCCCAATCCATTCAGTGTTTTGTATGATGAAAGTACGACTTTGAAGTGTATCCTTTGTGTGACAGGAAGCCAGGGCAGGTTTTTGAGAACTGAGGTGATGTGGTCAATTCTCCTTGTTCTGGTCAGGACTCTGGCAGCAACGTTCTGGATGAGTTGGAGTTGTTTTAATAATTTTGTACAGAGACCTGTGAAAACACTGTTATAGTAATCAAGCGATCTGATCCTGACAGGGAAAGGCATGAGCCAACTTGGTGAAGTGATCGGTAATCATAAGAACATCCACAGACTTGTTGTTATTATCCGACCAAAAGTCAAAACACACAAGTTCCAGAGAATAGAATTGGGAGGGATGAAACCCCTCTTTAATGGTCACACATGCAGAGCACACAGCACACACATGACATGTGTTCTCTGCTTTTAACCCATAGTACCAGGAGTACAGCGCCCGGGGAGCAATGGGAGTGAGGGGGGAAGGGGGTTGTCCGGTGCCTTGCTCAAGGGCACCACGTCAGGGCAGGAGGTGAACTGGGACCTCTCCAAGTAGAAGTCCACACTCCATATTTTAGGTCTGGTCGGGGACTTGAACCGGCGACCCTACGGCTCACAGTCCAAGCCCCTACCGACTGAGCCACTACCGGGGGGCAGAGGTCTTAATACTCTCCAATGGGGCTCTTGCGGAGGGCTCAGGGGCCTTGCTGAGTATGCATATGTGACAGCTCCTTACATGATTGCGAAGATACTTTTCCATATCATACCAGAAGAAATTCTGGCGGGCCAGAGAAAGTGTGCGGGGCTGACCTTGATGACCAGCATGGTCATGAACACCAGCCAATGCATCTACTTTCAGAGTCTCAGGCACAACAAACTGGAACTTTTTGTGTTTTGTCAGAGGGTCCTTTGTGACCCTATAAAGGATGCCGTTCGTGAGTGTCAGACTTTCCCACTGCTTAAGAATTCCCCGAATTTCCAGGCTCTCATTGCAGTTGTCACGTCTAGAGGGCCTGCGTTTCCTGTCAACATAGAGAGCAACCTGTGAGATGAATGGGTCCTGTTGTTGGTGAGACCGGAGGTCAGCAAAAGACAAAGATGGCAAGACATCCTGGCCAGGAGGCTCCAATGAGGTAAGATGACCGGCTAGAGAGGACGCGCGTTGCCCGGGGGCAGAATCCCACTCATTGAATGAGGAGAGGATGGAGGAGACATCCTCACTGGACATCACAGGCCGGGTCCAGCAACTCAGTCAGGACTTGAGTCGGAGGGACCCCCGACGGAGAAGGGACTTGAGTTGGCGGGACCCCCGACGGAGAAGGGACTTGAGTTGGCGGGACCCCCGACGGAGAAGGGACTTGAGTCAGGACTTGAGTCGGAGGGACACCCGACGGTGAAGGGACTTGAGTCAGGACTTGAGTCAGGACTTGAGTCGGAGGGACCCCCGACGGTGAAGGGGCTTGATTCGGCGGGACAGGGACAGGATACGCAGGGCTTGAGTGGGCCGGGTAGCCGGAACTGGAGCCAAAACCATGGCTGCTGGGGTTCGGGCTGGTTGCCCCCAAACGTTGTGGGTGTGCTTCAGCGGGTATCACCTGTCACTATACCAAGTTTGTAATCATTGCGACGTTTATAAATATTTTAAATTGTCCAAATGTCTCAATTTTCACACTAATACATCATATGGTGGCCTATATATCACCGTTCAAATATCAGCTCCCTCTGTCAATGCATTGTGGAAATATGAGCCTGTCCAATTGATGGAGTTTTTTTTATCATTGAAACTGTCCCTGGAATGTATTACATTTTACATTTCAGGGACAGTTTAATTGTTAAAAAAAATTCCTCTAATTGGACATACTAAAACACTCGTCCAGACGTTTAAAAACACTTTTCCTGACATTTTAAACATTATTTCTGCCTTGTAAAGTGCTGTGATGGGCCCTGGAAGTGTCACACTATTTAAACAATGTTTACCCAGGATTCAAACACCTTTCCTGGCTTGTAAATTGCTGTGATGCACCCTGGTCGGTTAATTATATGTTAAAATAATCAAAAATGAAGTTGAAAAAGATTCTCGAAAAAATGACTAAGTGCCCGAGAAGGGGCCCGACAAAGCTCAACCCTTTGGGGCTTCGGGCCCTTTTTTCCCCTTCTCCGTTGTAAGTTGCAACGGAGAAGGGGAAGTGTCCGGGGCTTCATTTCCCCTTCTCCGTCAAAATTGTTCCTCCATACATTTTGGACTACTGTCCGCACGAAATCGGAAACCCGGTTTTTGGGTGCACAGAAAAAAAACGGCTGTCTGAAATCCTGGAGGTGATGTATCTGCTCACAGTGCACACTGGGTCGGACATATTTGATGCCTCAAGACCCCCCCAGCCTGGTTCTCACAAAAGTTGACTGACAAATGTGCTTCTGGAGGAATGTATTTATCACCCTTTTGGCCCGGATCTATTTATTTTCTTTTTTCTTCAGTTTTGGCACAACGCTCTGGAAGAATGTAAGGGATAATGTGCATTATTATTATATGGCCACATTCTCAACAAAGTAACGACATGACTCCCAATATTAATTGAAATGCTTTTATGGATTTAGAAAAAGATTTTATTGATTTAAAAAATAGTTGTTTGCATTGATTTAAATTGACATGCATCCGCTGAGAAAAAGAATCCGTTGTTGCCATTTGAAAAACGTAGCAACGGCAGGAAGGCGGAGCTTTTTGATTACAGATTTGAAAACATAGGAAAGTATCTAGATATCCCTGCCCTAATGCCAAAGTAACTGGCAACTGAATATGTGTCGCCGTCTGATGTCTATGTCTGGACCACTGCGTAAAAAGGAGGGTTTCTGCCCGTTACTTCTCCGCTGTTTTCTTGTCGCTCTTGTCTTGTCAGTTAGGAAAGCAAACTTTAAACAGTTCAATCGACCGGACTTCTTTGTGCAGATGTGAGCGTCCTTAACAACGGTCAATAAATCCATGACAGCGGTCTGTCTGTTCTGGATTAACAACGTGTCACGTGTTCTGAATTGACCAATCAGAATCGAGTATTCAACTAAACCATGTAATAAAAAGAGTTTCACAGCTGTAGTCTTTAATTCTTCCCATCACAGCTAACTCCTCTGGGTATGTTCTCTTTGGGGCCTGTGGACTGAGTAGGATTCAAGACTACAGCTGTGGAACTCTTTATAGTACAACGCTACTTTATTAAATATTCTTAAATCTTCCTGAGGCGCCATCTTGTCTCCTTTTGAACTTACTCCTGGACTTTGGAAAAAGAACGCTTTCAATTCTCAGACTGTTAGGTTCCTCTCCTCCTCCTGTTAGTTTAGATTCTCAGACTCTGGGTTTGGCTCCTCTTCTCCTCCTGTTACTCGGTGTTACCGGAGACGTCAGGCGGTTCGTCTGCGGCCTCGGGGTGAGCGGAGGGGATTCTGGCGCCACCCTGACGCTGTTTTTCCCGTACAGCCGGCGCTCGTACTGCAGCAGCTGCTCCCAGAAGCCGGCGTTGAGCCGAATGCACGGCCGCTGATCCTGAACCTGGGGAGAATTAACAATCTACTGATGACCTGATAACCAGTTCTATCACCAAAACAAAAAGGTTGCTAGGTGTTGGGAAAATACTGAATGTCCTCTTCCAACATGAGAGTAACATGATAACAAAGGTATCAACTGTAGCTGTGAACATGACAGGATGTGTGATGACCTAGAAGAGCATCAGGACTGTTTGAGGCAGATGATAGCTATGTGATTAACATGATGATTCAGCCTCTATGGAGATAGACATATGACAAGCATGCTCATTTCTGACGTGGAGCTAATCTGAAGTAAACATTGAATACTGCTTTCTATTCCTCCATCTTGTGACTGTAACTCCCTCTCTTGGATATCAGCATGTGAAGGACACTATTCGGGGAACTATTTGTCCCATGCAGCTCTGTATGTGAAGACTACTTCCATTCTTTTCTTTTTTATATATTTGTATATATCTGAGACCTATAATATATCCCTAAAAATAGTAGCCTTAGGAGACCTGTAATAGCCACGTTCACACCGGAGTACTTTTCCCCGTACTTTTCCCCTTTAGTTCCGTTAGCACCCCTTATGTTGCGTTCACACCAAAAGGAGTACTTAGTGCCGGGAACTTTCACCCCCATTTTTAGTGCCTGCTAGAGAGGTGGTACTCTCCTGGGGGGAAAAAGTGCCCCAGTTCTGATTGGCTGGGCGAATTGCAAACCACGCCCCGTAAAACTCTGAAAAAGTTTTGTGAAGCCGCCATTTTATTTGTGGCATTAGCATTATTAGCATTAGCGTTAGCCCCGTGCACCAACGGAGAGAGACTAACTTATGGCAACACAAAAGAAAACATGGGAGCGGTGGAGATGAGGAGGTGTCGGCGTTCTGGCGATTTACTCGGAAGGCTTCAGTTGAAGCTGCTGGGAGTCCCAGCAGCTTCAACTGAAGCCTTCCCCAACTCCGGGGACTTCGGGTGGCAGTATACGCCGTGAAGTTGTTTGCAGCCTGCCAGTAAACCCAAAGCAGAAGAAGAAGTCTTCCTGGTCGAATGTACTTATTGTAAGTCGCTTTGGATAAAAGCGTCAGCTAAATGCAATGTAATGTAATGTAAAAGAAGAAGTGACGTCAGCGGCTTCATTTGCCTAATCCTCCCTCAGGGACTTATTCCGGTGTGAACGTGATTGGTACTTAGTGCCCTGGGGTAATAAGTGCCGGCACTAAGTACAGCAAAGTACGCTGTGTGAACGCGGCTATTGTAATACCCAGCTTTAAATGGTGTTAGCTGTGATCTGACCCTCATAGTAGCCTATAGTATTGTCTATCAGATCTATATATTTCACTTGTTACTTCTGTTTTATCTTGATATTACCCAGCGGTGCGCCTGCCGCAGCGTCACCGCGCGGTAACGCATCAGGTACGCCATCACCAGCGCGGGCGAGCGGCTCTTCCCCGCAACACAGTGCACGAGCGTGCTGCCCGCGCGGTTGCTGTGGATACGGTCGGCCACGCGGTCGAAGTGATCACCGAGGCGCGCGCAGGGCAGGTCGGGCACGGGGACGCGAACAAACTCCACCCCCTGGAGGGCGGGGCCCGCGTGGCTCAGCGTGGCGTTCACCACCAGCGTGACGCCTTTCAGAGAGAGCAGCGGTGCGTTCAGGGCCGCCTCCGCCCCCCCCAGGAAGAGAGAGGGCGTGATCTGAGACACCGCCATCTGAAACACAGGGGGGAGGGTTTTGAGAGTTTGTGTGTGTGTGTGTGTGTCAGTGTGTGTGTGTGTGTGTGTGTGTGTGTGTGTGTGTGTGTGTGTGTGTGTGTGTGTGTGTGTGTGTGTGTGTGTGTGTGTGTGTGTGTGTGTGTGTGGTGTGTGTGTGTGTGTGTGTGTGTGTGTGTGTGTGTGTGTGTTACCTGCTACTGTGTCAGTCGCTTCACTTTAGTTGTGGTTGCTTCTTCCTCTGATGCCTGCTCTGAATGAGCAGACAGGCACACACACATATGAGTGTGTGTGTGTGTGTGTGTGTGTGTAGGGTTAATTTTAGTCCAACAGCTGAAGTCATGTGACTTGAAATATACCCAAACAACATCTGATGTAATGTTTTTATATATCACATTTTGCTAGCTAATGACAGATCTGTTTAGATTAGCTTTTTATTAGCAACCCTTCACTTTAAATTATATTTTAGTCTTTATTATTAACCTACTTTTATATTGTTTTATTTATTTTATAGACCTTAAAAGGGTTTTATCTTATATTATTTAAAAGTTTTATTTATGTTTGATTGCTGTTTTTTTATAATCATTTAAACTTTATTAGAATTATACGTTTTTATTACTATTATCTTTGTATGTTGTTGTTTATTTTATAGTGTGTCATATTGTTGCATCGATTCACTTTGTCTTGTGTGTTATTTTACTGAGGAATCATTAGCACGTAAAGCCCTTTGAGCTGCACGTGCTGTATGACAAGTGCTTTATAAATAAAGCTGCATTAGTAGTATTGATTGTCCACCGCTGTTAGCCGTTAGCCGTTAGCTGTTAGCCGTTAGCCGTTAGTACTAAAGCTAGCGTTCAGACTGAGAGGAAACACCAGAGGAGCTGAGAGAAAGTGTGAAACGAGGTGAAAATCATTAAACGTCTGGGCATGTTCAGAGCTGCTAATGCACAAAAGGGGAGTTAGTCGGTTCCGTAAGAGGCGAGTGCTAAACGAGTTATGACATCAGTTACGACTCGGATTTGTCATTTGTGGTCTTTCTTTGTGTATTTTCATAGTCTTATATTTCAACAATTTTAGGACAAACTGTGACTTTCTCGACATGAAAAATATTCTTTTAAATTGACAAACGTCATATGTGTAATTCATGGCACAATTCAAACGGGATCAAATATCACAATAAGAGAATTGATGACCTGACTTCACAATAAGAGCACGATGACCTGACTTCACAATAAGAGCATTGATTACCTGACTTCACAATAAGAGCACGATGACCTGACTTCACAATAAGAGCACGATGACCTGACTTCACAATAAGAGCACGATGACCTGACTTCACAATAAGAGCACGATGACCTAACTTCACAATAAGAGCACGATGACCTGACTTCACAATAAGAGCACGATAACTTGACTTCACAATAAGAGCACAGATGACCTGACTTCACAATAAGAGCACGATGACCTGACTTCACAATAAGAGCATTGATTACCTGACTTCACAATAAGAGCACGATGACCTGACTTCACAATAAGAGCACGATGACCTGACTTCACAATAAGAGCACGATGACCTGACTTCACAATAAGAGCACGATGACCTAACTTCACAATAAGAGCACGATGACCTGACTTCACAATAAGAGCACGATAACTTGACTTCACAATAAGAGCACAGATGACCTGACTTCACAATAAGAGCACGATGACCTGACTTCACAATAAGAGCACGATGACCTGACTTCACAATAAGAGCACGATGACCTGACTTCACAATAAGAGCACGATGACCTGACTTCACAATAAGAGCACGATGACTGTCGTGGCTTCCTTCCTTTGTTTTTCCACCAAGCCACTAGACGCCTTAAACAGACAGTTCTAACTCGTTTCTTTCCTTAAAGTACTCACAGTTTGAAGTGTTGCTTGGCCTCCGATGGTTTAGAAGATGTTGCGATGTAGTTGCTCAAAATAAAGTAACAAACTTTTGCACATGCAACAAAGAAAAATAGGCCTTTACAATATTCAAAAGAAATAGGCAAAACTCAAATAAAACAACACAACTTAGTTATTCTTTCGTTCTTGATAACTTAAATGGTACTTGTACGGTTTGTGTGTACGGTTACGAGTACGATTGAGTACGGTTAAAAACTGTTCCTCATCGGCGTCTCTCAACAGGTTGCCCATCACTGTGGCGTTAGCACAGGCGCCGTGGGAATTGTAGTCCTTTATAGTGCGTTGACTACAGACGTCACAATTAGGTGGCCTTTCTTATCAAATCAAATTACTGGCTCTAACAATGACCTGACTTCACAATAAGAGCACAATGACCTGACTTCACAATAAGAGCACAATGACCTGACTTCACAATAAGAGCACAATGACCTGACTTCACAATAAGAGCATAGATGACCTGACTTCACAATAAGAGCACAATGACCTGACTTCACAATAAGAGCATAGATGACCTGACTTCACAATAAGAGCACGATGACCTGACTTCACAATAAGAGCACGATGACCTGACTTCACAATAAGAGCACGATGACCTGACTTCACAATAAGAGCACAATGACCTGACTTCACAATAAGAGCATAGATGACCTGACTTCACAATAAGAGCACGATGACCTGACTTCACAATAAGAGCACGATGACCTGACTTCACAATAAGAGCACGATGACCTGACTTCACAATAAGAGCACGATGACCTGACTTCACAATAAGAGCACGATGACCTGACTTCACAATAAGAGCACAATGACCTGACTTCACAATAAGAGCACGATGACCTGACTTCACAATAAGAGCACGATGACCTGACTTCACAATAAGAGCACGATGACCTGACTTCACAATAAGAGCACGATGACCTGACTTCACAATAAGAGCACGATGACCTGACTTCACAATAAGAGCACAATGACCTGACTTCACAATAAGAGCACGATGACCTAACTTCACAATAAGAGCACGATGACCTGACTTCACAATAAGAGCATAGATGACCTGACTTCACAATAAGAGCACGATGACCTGACTTCACAATAAGAGCACAATGACCTGACTTCACAATAAGAGCACGATGACCTGACTTCACAATAAGAGCACGATGACCTGACTTCACAATAAGAGCATAAATGACCTGACTTCACAATAAGAGCACGATGACCTGACTTCACAATAAGAGCACGATGACCTGACTTCACAATAAGAGCACGATGACCTGACTTCACAAGAAGAGCACGATGACCTGACTTCACAAGAAGAGCACGATGACCTGACTTCACAATAAGAGCACGATGACCTGACTTCACAGTAAGAGCACGATGACCTAACTTCACAATAAGAGCACGATGACCTAACTTCACAATAAGAGCACGATGACCTAACTTCACAATAAGAGCACGATGAACTGACTTCACAGTAAAGCATAAATGACCTGACTTCATAATAAAGCATCAATGACCTGACTTCACAATAAGAGCACAGATTACCTGACTTCACAATAAGAGCACGATGACTTGACTTCACAATAAGAGCACGATGACCTGACTTCACAATAAGAGCACGATGATCTGACTTCACAATAAGAGCACGATGACCTGACTTCATAATAAGAGCACAATGACCTGACTTCACAATAAGAGCACGATGACCTAACTTCACAATAAGAGCACGATGACCTAACTTCACAATAAAGCATAAATGACCTGACTTCATAATAAAGCATCAATGACCTGACTTCACAATAAGAGCACAGATTACCTGACTTCACAATAAGAGCACGATGACTTGACTTCACAATAAGAGCACGATGACCTGACTTCACAATAAGAGCACGATGACCTGACTTCACAATAAGAGCACGATGACCTGACTTCACAATAAGAGCACGATGACCTGACTTCACAATAAGAGCACAATGACCTGACTTCACAATAAGAGCACGATGACCTGACTTCATAATAAGAGCACGATGACCTGACTTCATAATAAGAGCACAATGACCTGACTTCACAATAAGAGCACGATGACCTGACTTCACAATAAGAGCACGATGACCTGACTTCACAATAAGAGCACGATGACCTGACTTCACAATAAGAGCACGATGACCTGACTTCATAATAAGAGCACGATGACCTGACTTCACAATAAGAGCACGATGACTGTCGTGGCTTCCTTCCTTTGTTTTTCCACCAAGCCACTAGACGCCTTAAACAGACTGTTCTAACTCGTTTCTTTCCTTAAAGTACTCACAGTTTGAAGTGTTGCTTGGCCTCCGATGGTTTAGAAGATGTTGCGATGTAGTTGCTCAAAATAAAGTAACAAACTTTTGCACATGCAACAAAGAAAAATAGGCCTTTACAATATTCAAAAGAAATAGGCAAAACTCAAATAAAACAACACAACTTAGTTATTCTTTCGTTCTTGATAACTTTACAACTTAAATGGTACTTGTACGGTTTGTGTGTACGGTTACGAGTACGATTGAGTACGGTTTAAAAACTGTTCCTCATCGGCGTCTCTCAACAGGTTGCCCATCACTGTGGCGTTAGCACAGGCGCCGTGGGAATTGTAGTCCTTTATAGTGCGTTGACTACAGACGTCACAATTAGGTGGCCTTTCTTATCAAATCAAATTACTGGCTCTAACAATGACCTGACTTCACAATAAGAGCACGATGACCTGACTTCACAATAAGAGCACAATGACCTGACTTCACAATAAGAGCATAGATGACCTGACTTCACAATAAGAGCACAATGACCTGACTTCACAATAAGAGCATAGATGACCTGACTTCACAATAAGAGCACGATGACCTGACTTCACAATAAGAGCACGATGATCTGACTTCACAATAAGAGCACGATGACCTGACTTCACAATAAGAGCACGATGACCTGACTTCACAATAAGAGCACGATGACCTGACTTCACAATAAGAGCACAATGACCTGACTTCACAATAAGAGCACGATGACCTGACTTCACAATAAGAGCACGATGACCTGACTTCACAATAAGAGCACGATGACCTGACTTCACAATAAGAGCACGATGACCTGACTTCACAATAAGAGCACGATGACCTGACTTCACAATAAGAGCACGATGACCTGACTTCACAATAAGAGCATAGATGACCTGACTTCACAATAAGAGCACGATGACCTGACTTCACAATAAGAGCACGATGACCTGACTTCACAATAAGAGCACGATGACCTGACTTCACAAGAAGAG